TTTGAATAGAGAACCGGCGTGGGTAAAGACAGTGTACTATAAAGAGGGAGGGGTGAATATTTATTACCATTAAATGTGGTATTTAATATGTATTAAATGTGGCATTTAATGTGTGTGCCTGTAATGCTAATTATAATAGAAATAACAAACGATTAGAGCATATTCAAATGTTCAAGTTATCCCCTTGTGTTTCTTCTAGAGGTGTTCTCTTTCATCTGTGGATTATCTGTAAATTCCCTCATTCTCCTGCATAGTGTATACCATCTATCGTATATAAGCTAAGCAGAAAGAGTCCATCCAATCTTCCGTTTTCCCCGCTTGTTTTTGGGTGTTTAATTCAATAGAAATGCAGAGGCCAACGTGCCACACGAAGAGGCAACCAAACAAACCGTCAGAAAGCAGAAGCAGCGGCAGCAGCGACAGATGTCTCATAAAAAAGGGAGCTATGAGGGAGCCAGCCGAAAAAACAGTTTGGCCCCAATGGCCTCGGATTACTCATGTTGTTTGTGTGGGTTCTGTTTGTGTTTGTGTTCTGGGTTTTGACCCATCTCGGGGCAGACTCATTTGGATTACTGTGGGAATTATGTTATGTGAAATAATGCAGCATCATTTGTACTCCAATGTTGGGCAAAAGCAAAAGAAAAAGCAGAACCAGAGCCAGTACCGACATTGAGTAATGAATGGTGGGGGATCTATGTCCTCCTATCCTCTTCTATCCTCTCCTTCTCTGATTCTCTGCAGTGACATTATAAAGTCTGTTTTCTGTTTTCTAGAGCTTTCATGGTAGGGGAGGGGTTGTTGGGATGTGTCTCCTCCTGGGGCGTTGGTTAACCATTCACAATCTCAATAAATTTCAATGGTTCTATCGGTTAAGAACCTCTCCGCTTGACAGTCGTGTGCTGGGCTGGGCTGCGTGTGTGTGTGCCATGTATTATGTATTATGTAGGAGCTGTCGCCCAATAAATTCCCATGTAAGCAACTGATATTGACAGCTTGAGCACAACGATGGATACGAATACGAGAGTGTTGTGGGACATTGGAAATTATATGCATGTACTTAAGCACAGAAGCACGGAGGGGCGGCTGGCTGCTGGCAGGAGGTAGGTATCCTGCCCGTCGGATACGGGATACAACGACATAATGGGATTCTGGACAGGCAACATATGAGAGTATTTCGCAATGCCACACAACAGCACATCATCGAAATCACATCATCAAAGCTGTTAACATATTTCTGGGAAAAACAGTGTGAGACAGAACATGAGCATGGGGAAACAGAGAGAGGCAGAGGAAGGAAGGGCTGAACGGACCTGTTTACATAACACATTTTCAAGCAGATACTGGGGCATGCTCTGCGTATCCCGGGCAACAGTCTCAGCCTCCCCCTCCCCCTCACCACACCCAAAACCCCACCCCACCCCACCCATTACCATGTCAATCGATGTTAATTTATTGTCAATGCACATTTTTCTCTCTCTGTCTCTCTCGCTCTAGATATGGACACAAATATGCAGGGTATATCAGAGGTAGCATGTACAATGTGGGCTCCACTCCACGAACTCTGTAGAGCAGCGGTACCTATCCATTTGATGTACCTTGCGCATACCAATGCAGAGACTTACTCTAGTTTGGCTGTCCTTTGTGTGTGTGTGTGTGTGTGTGGCATGCAAAATGGCTTTGCCTCTCTTAGCCATCCACAAAAACACGTGCGCCATGTGCACGTTATTAATCAACAAGGACCTACAACAAGCTCTTTGGTGCAACATCACAAACACAACCGAGCGACTGACCGACCGACCGACCACTCCCTCTACACGAAACAGATGCCGGGATGCGGAATGCAACGTGCGCTGCTCCATGGTGCTGAGCTGTAGGCTGCGTGTGTTGAGTGCGTTGCATGCGGCATAGAACAAACAAACGAACAATACACAACCAAAAACCCATGCAGAATGGAGCACCAGGGAACAAGGGAAGCAGGAAAAGTCAGCATCAGATGCAGATGTTTGCGTTTGCGTTTCATGCGTTTATGTGTATGCACAACCAAAGCTCATTATCCTGTTGATACGGCCCCCAAAAATTGACTTAAAGACTCGCCCGCTTAGCAGGCAGGCTTAAATGCCACTAACAGCCCCTACATGCTCCCCCATGGAGGCTTCCATAGAGAGGCTTTAACCACTCCCTGTTCCGACTCCCACACCCGCCGAATCACAGAGGGTTGATAGATCATTAATCATATGCAACGTTGATTAGCCTTAGAAACCCCACTGGAATGACATATAATAATCCGTACAACTTTGAGTGAATAATCAGCAAATAATTCATCATAATTCAGCAAAGGAATCAAAACGAAATACTCGTAGAATGGATCCATTAATAATGAAACAATGAATAACCAAATACAGTTCTGCGACGGAGAGTTTTGAGCAGCAGGCATGTGGAAAGAGATCCATCCATCAAGACTTTGTGGCCTAATCACATTAAAGAGTCAGTCGGGAGTCGTGTAGTTGCCCCAAAAGATCAGCGGAGCGCATAATAAATTGCATTTTGTTGGGTTACCCAAACCCTGTAGGGTAATGCAATCCTTTTTTTGTTTGTTTGTTTTTTCGGGTAAGCATAAAAGAGCATTCAGCACATGAGAGACACGTCTCCACGTTTGTCAGTTGCATAAAAACATGAAAATGCCAACACATTCGTTCGTCCATGAAGGGAGCAAAGGGAGTAATGGGAGATGGCAGCCAGGAGGACGGAGGACATTCACAGCACATGCCAAGAGCAGGCCTTGGCCAGCACCACCGCAGCGGAAATGGTGCAAAAAGCGGAACAGAACGGAACGGAAAGGGTTGGGGGGTTGCGAGGGGAAATTAGAAAATTCCACATTGCAAAAGACAGACAGAGACAGAGAGAGGGGGAGAGAGAGAGAGAAAAAGATGACAGACGACAGTCTGCAGTGCAAAAAAAAAAAATCCTGCTTGACGGGATTTTATTTATTATACCCCTCTTTTTTTGCCCAACCTGAAAATCCCAGCTAAATGTCCAACAGCATGAAAGTTTAGACCCCCTCTCTCGCTCCCACTATTTCTCGTCCACTCCTCTCCTGCTACGCCCATGGCCATGCAAAATTAATACCAAAAGCCAATAGAGCTTTGTCCGCTTGTTGATCTAGTCACAGTTACTCGATAAAGTATGCGACCCCTGATTGAATTCCGCTAAAAGTTTCGCTTTTCCGCTTCCCTCCAATTTTCTATTTATATAGTATGTCCTTCGTTGAATTTCTCCTACCCTCCCGCTTTTTTACTCTCTTTTTATCGTTGAGCAGCAGAGAAAGCGGTAGAGTAAGGGGAACAAGATTTGTAATTAAATTCACGCAGCAATAGAAAAGAAATCGGGAACCAAGAAACGTCAAGCAAAACAACGGGGAAAATCGAAGAGGATAGCAAGCCGAGGTCTTGGTTACCCTGGCAAATCCATTCTTCCAAATCAGCTAAAGGATGTTCGATCAACTTTAGCTAGAAGCTATGAAAACTTAAATTTAATTGCAGTTTTTTAATATATGATTGAATAATCTTTAGGAAGCAAATACCCTTGCCTATAAAGCAAAGGGAATAGAAATATAAAATAGCTTCAAAACTGAGGATATATACATCCCATCGAGACTAGATCGGATTGGCTGATAGCATCGTAAAGGATACTCTTTGCAAGGGTGTATAAAAACAAAAATCACAAAGAATTTAATTAAACTTTTTCTATGTTTATTTCTGGGTTTTTTTTTCGTTTTTTTTTTTGTGGCAGCAGCCCAGCAGCCTCAACGCATTTTAATTAGTTTTTTTTCCCCCCATGAAGAGCAGAAAAACCGAAAGTAGGAGTGGCAGCGCGAAATAGAAGAAATGGAGGAATGGCGTTGCAAAAGAGAGGGTAAGCAGGGCTGCAGGGCGAGCGGGAAGTGTATGGCATGTGTGCTAAAAGCAAATCAAAAGTATTCGCCCAACAATTGACGCGTCCTCGTCCTCTGTGTGTGTGTGTGTGTGTGTGTGTGTGTGTGTGTGTGTGTGCACGTATGAGTATGTGACTGTACGCGTGAGTGTGTAAGCGCAATGCTGTCAAAAAACTTTTCAACAAATGTCGCTCACATGCCACAGACTTCACAAACACACACTCTCGGCCCTCACATGGATTCATTCGCATGCATGAAAGCAAAAAAGGTGTTGAACATTAACATTTCATGCGCATAAACAAATGAGTTTTTCAACATACAGTTTTGATTATATAACAAGCTTGTGGCACACATATTTTGCATAGTACATGCGTCCTCCCACCACCTGACAGATATTCCTGTGAACAATTTTTCCTGTCTACTTTTTTTATATTCCCCCCACTGTGGTACAACAAAAACTGGACAGCCTGAAAGTACAGTGCGTTTCGTACTCATAAAATATGTGTAGGTTTGGTATGGGATCTATCCATAAGCATATCACGTATAGATGGTGATTTAATATTAATATTTCACATCCAGTGGCCATTTCATTTCAGTTCAAAGATATATATTTACTACCCGGTACTCAGCTTCTACGAGTACTTACATAAATATATACAGCACCCAGCATACTCTTTGGGTACCGGTTATAAAGATTCGGCTATGATCTTTACCTTTTGACACACACAGCAGCAGCAATATTTTATGAGAAACTAAAAGTAAAATATTCAGAAAAAAAACACCGCAAAAGTTGTTGGAACAGACAATGTGAAAATGAACATAAAAGTAAGCATAAAAGTTATTTTTAAGTTCAAGAGAGGAAAAAAGGAGAATTTAAGAGTAGCCGAGTGGACCCTTCCGATATGCAAAGTGGGTAAGAGAGTCCCCCAGTGACCCTGCCCACACCGTTCCATTCAAAGCCGCTTCCATGGCCATGGTATTACGGAATTAACATGGCAAACTTTCGAACAGAATGCTAAATTTAATTAACTAATTTATATGTGTATATGTGGCGGGAATAAAAACTTACCCCTCCATGTCCGCCAGAGCCCTCAATGCTATCATCGTCGATATAAATTGCATCTCTGGGACCCGAAGCCGCCGGGGATGCTGCTCCTCCTGATAGAGCGGATGGCTCTGCAGCCGATGCTTTCACAGTTTTCTGCAAATATAGAAAACGTCCAAATAAAATGAGTGGTTATTCAAACAATAATATTCATATAGGGGGGAAGGAACAAAAGGGTGCGGGACGAGAGGGCAGAACTTTTTTAATTTACGGTAACATTTTTGCTTTTTTTGTGGAGGCAAATGCAAATATTTTCATTTAATTAATTAGAGGGGAAGTCCGAAAAGTTGCCGAATACTGGAAATGCTCGAGTGTTGCCAGTATGAGGCGGCGGTAGAGAAATGCCACTTTTGAAAGGAACAGGACGCAGTTAGCATAGTGCATGGCTGGCAACGGATGCAACCATCAATAATACGAATGAAAAATGCCGTTCTTTCTGACTCCGCGAATGGGTACGAGTACGAGTACGAGTGTGGAGCCATGGTAATGGTAATGGTCGTGGTCGGTGGTCATTGATGTGGTCATGGTTCATGGTCCACAGTGGAATGGGCACCGCATAATACAATTAATTAAGAACAATTCTTATAGTATATGCCAGCAGGAGGACCAGAAGCCGGAGCAGGCGCAACAGCCGTCAGTGTTAAATGCATTTTTAATGATGCACTGGATAATCAATGGGAAATGCAAATTGTGTGCCACCTCCCTCTACTTGTAACCCTGCTTGCTTCTGCTTTCCCTTTACGACCTGCCAAGTGGTGGAAAAAAAGTCGCCGATTTTCTCCGTGCTTTTTTCGGCCCCGTCCGGACATTGCATAATTAATGGAGCCTCACAATCCACATCCACATCCACGTTCACGTCCATGGCTAGGAGTTGTCCGCATTTTATGGTCAAACATAAAAAACAGAAATGAGGGTTTGGGAGGGTTGGGTTGGGGATGTGGTGTAGTAGAGTTTTGCAGAGGGGTGGTCCTGGTGTGCTTCCTGCTGTGCCTCATTAAGCCAGTGGGAAATATCGTGCGCATTTCCTTTATTTTTGTTGGGTTTTTTTCAGTTAAGTGGGAATTGATGAAGACTTTACGATGAGAGCCACTCACACGAATGGGGAAATAGACACGATGTCCATGGATCTGTTCACCCGTCGGGTATCCACAGACTTTTAATCTCTATTTGAAATGCAAGAGCCACTATTATTTATTCAATATTAATGCAATTATATCTTAATATCAATGTGGTTTTTCCTCCTTCAATATTCATGTATCTCCCGTAGCAGCCTTCATTTACAGATTTCCTGCCTTTTCTTCTTGTCCTATCCCACTCTGAGGACTCATTTTTGATGAGATTTTCTGTTTTTGAAATAAGTTCCACTCTAATCCTCATTTCCTCGCAGATTTTCTGCATTATATCACATCTTTCCACTTCATAAACAATACTATATCACTCCAATGTTTCTTCCTCCTCGGATGATTCCCGTTTGAATTCCAATCCTTCTATTTTATAAGCCAAAAGCGAGGCCAAAGTTTGTGCAAACAGATTCGTTTTGATGCACTTTTCCCCCCTCGATACAAACTGCTAACCGGATTAAGTAATCGTCTTTTGCAAGTGTCTACTATTTTTTGCAGATTAGCAGCAGCCCCGTGAATGTTCCCCGGAGTTGGCGGCAAGTCAAAGTTGTCAAAAGAAGCTTTGGATGCCCATTCTGCGCTCTGCATCCCTATCCTGTCTTTGCCTCTGGCTCTGACTCTAGCCTCTGACTCCTCATCCTTCCTTTGGCTCGGTCTCTGGCTCCTGTCATCGACTCTTCTTGCGGAACATCCTGCTGATGTTGCTGCTCTGCTGGCATTAAGTTTTTGGCGGCCTGTCAAGTCCGCCGTGATGACGTCTTTCATTCTGGGGCTGCGGTTGTGCCTCCTCGCATACACTAAACAATTTGCCAGTCTGCCAATCTGCCAATCTGCCTGGCTTTTCTCCGCCCATAGGTGTGAATAACCGCTGGAGATAAACTCCAAAGTTGCCGTGCCACAAGGACGAAGTTTTCCATTCAGTTTGCGGTCCCTTCTTCTTTGTATGGCCCAACAGTGGCTTGTTGCTCGGGAGGCTTTCCATTGACAGGACTATGATATGTTTTTCTGCTTTTTCTCAGCTCATATTTCTGTATTTTTTATAATTGAAATATTTCACTCTTTGTGGCAAAAACATTTACGGACGAGCGCTCCACTCCACTCCGCTCGCTCTGTCTGTCTGCAGCAACGATTTTCTGGCTGGGAAAACTGGCAAAATATTCATTGGGGGAAAATGTTATTTCCATTTCTAGTTTTCATTTTTGGCCATCTCCATCGTTTCGGTCCGCTTGTTTCATATTTTAAAATGGCAACAATTTGCCAAAACGTTAAATTGAATTGCAGCCAGTTGGGGCTCTGGCACTCGTTTCCCTTGCCCCATTTCCTTTTCAGCGGTGACAAATTTGTGTCCATTGTGGCATTCAAAATAGTTCTCTGCCACAATCACCCAAACCCCCTCTCCATTCAGAGTCCACAGTCCAGAGTCGTATGGAGCCAAGCCCTGGCTATAAATCAATACAAATATTGACAGGTTTTGTGTGTGTGTTCGTGTGTGATCGCCTGAACGCGCATTTTTATCAGCATTCCATGGAGAGAACCAGAGTCTCATAGTTTTACAACGTTTTGGCTACCCAGGATACCCATTAATTGGGATATGAAACTCGAAAAGTCTTCTACAAATAGTCATACAATTTTTCTCTTTTTTTCCCTCTGGCTGTTTAAGTACATGTTTCTGTTCACTCCGATTAAAGGGTATACAAAAAAGAAACAACCATATAAAATGAATTCGTTTGCTTTTTTATCATTTATCAATATTTATATGGCTAACAAATATTTTTATAGCACACGAAAACAATCTATAGAATGGAAGTATGGAAAATTATTTACAAAAATATTAAATACATAAAAAATACTCTGTGTCTGTGTGTGTGCTGAAAATTTGCCTACACACTCGAGAGACAATAGATGCTAGAATCCCCATTGCATTATTTGATTATTTTAATAATCCATCGTTTTTTTTGTTGCCTTTGCCTGCCGCTTTCCATTCAATTCACAGTCGAATGAGTCGCAAAAAACAGCTCGAACAGCTCTGATTCGATTAAAAAATGCTCATTTAACGTGTCAATTGCATTACGCTGTAAAAACTTTCTCTGACAACCGACAGTTTTTCGCTGTGGCGTGACTGTACTTTGTACTGACAGCCAAATGACAGGAGCACTAGAGTGCGCAATCAGCAGAGAGAAAGAAATCCATCCATCCTTTTATTGCCCACCCAAAAAGTAGGCACAAAATACACATGTCGATCAGAATGCCAGAACAAGTATACGCCAAGTGACATCAAAGGAATGACAGGAAAAAAGTCTCCAAAAAGGGCAGGTCAGAAATAAGAACACACACACAGAGAGAGAGAGAGAGAGAGAGAGTGTGTCATAGATAGAGATGGGGAAAACATATTCAACTTGTCTGTGCGTTCCGTCATTATGTTGATGACAGGCAGCTTTTACTTCGAGATTGGAATCCAAAGACAAGACTTCCAAGAAAAAAAAGGTCCTTTCTTGTATTCCTTTTTCTCTTCCTCGAAAGCCAAAGGCCAAAGTGAATGATAAATAAACAAAATGCCTTGACGCTTTTCCGAATTGAACATTTTCATTTTCGTTCATTTCTCTCTTCCGAGCCTCTCTCTCTCTCTGCCTGTCTCTCCACTCTATGCGTGCTCTGTGTCCGTTAAGGTGTCAAGAAGGTAAATATGAAAGCCTTCAGTTCCAAGCAGAAGCCCTCAAATAAAACCAAATCAAAACTTATTATGCCACACACACACATACGCTCATGTACACACACGTGGCAGAGAGAGGCTGTGAGATTGTATTTTATTGTTCTTTTGTGCGTGTGTGTGTGGTGTGGCTGTGGCACTGGGGATAACTTTTATGTTTATAGCAGTCGTAAAAGAGGGCAAAACTTGACTCGTTGTTGCAACAAAACCTAATTGAACAGCAAAATTATTGCCCCATTGCCCCCACAGGGATACCAACGCAGGAGAAGGAGCAGCGAGCCAGCCTAACAGAATTGCTATGCACAGACTGGACCCCAGAATTCGCAGGGATGGATACCTGCTCTAAATTTAGCATTCATTCAACATTCATTTCACATGCAAATTGAGAAATGTTCGACATTACAATTAGCAGAACGGCAGGAAGCAGACTGTGGAAAGCACAGGAACCCAGAGGAACTGTAAACAAGGCAAAATGTCTGCCTTTCGAAGGACTCGCATCTCGCATCTCCTGGACGCACTCATATGTAAATAAGGCTAAAAAGGTACAAGCGGCAGGCAGCAACAATCTCTGCCAAGTGACTTGACACAAAGCCAATGGCGGAAATTGCAAACGTTCACTCACATTCACCGAGAGTCAAAAAGAGAGAGAGAGACACTCATTCTCTATGGCACACACACACACACACATGCACAGCTCACAATAAAAGGGGAATCCTGTAAATGCTGCTGGCAAGGGGGAATGCAAAATCGTGGGGCACCAAAGTATGCCACAGACAGACACAAACTGTGAGAATCGTTATAACACTGACCTACAGTGTCTGCTTCGCCTCCACCTCCACCTGCGCTGCCACAGCGGAAGGGAAGGTGTGTGGCAGGACTCACTCTGCCGTGAATCGATGAATCGTAGCTAAAAGAACAAATACGTATACGCACCGATATCCTCCTGGGGAAGGGTGCCCTCCAATTTTGGCAGCAACAAGGCTTGCTCCACGTTTTTAGGCGGCTCTTCTTGCCACAACAATAATTCGCACTGTGTGTGAGCGGGTGGCAAGATGGAGACAGACAGAGAGACAGAAGGAAACAACAAACGGATAGAGTGCGGGCGCACTGCGCTCGAGCAGCCAAATAAACAACCGAACACTTTACCAGAAAGGTTCAAACTGACACCAGAATAAGCAGTGCCTCACGGAAGGCGGCAAGAACTTAGAGGTCTGCTATCGTTGGGGCAGCATCAGCAGCCGAAGCAGCAGTGTAGCAGAAACGACAGA